CAGAACGATTGATGGGCTGCAAAAACGCATTAATGGATGTATTTTAACTGCACACACACAATGCTTCTTATCTCCTTTAGTAGCTTTGACACAAAAACATGAAATTAAGATTAAAAAATACCAAAGTTGCCTTTTTATTTAACCCAATTTATAACCAAAGAACTGTTTAGTTGTGCCTCGTGTTTTTCTAACTGCAGTCTCTTTGTGTGTTTGACTGAGAGTTGCTGAACGGGCAGTTATTGAAGAGGAGCAGTTTGTTCTCACTCACTTTGTTACCTTTCTGTCTCTGCCGGAGTAGATCGATCTGCTTTTTGCCAGACTGGCCTTACAGTCCATTCCAGACAACCTGGACCTGAGGGGAGACTCCATCCTGAGGAACTTGGACATTCGGTGTATCCGCAGCCTTAATGGTACGCTGCATGGCTTCTGTTGGGTTGCAAACATACAGCAGAGACCTGATACTGTTAGTTCCTCATGTGAAACTCCAGCGTTCTCAGACTGGGATTAAACTGATGTGTTTTATTCTGACAGGCTGTCGAGTGACTGATGAAATTTTGTACCTGGTGCCAAACAAAGAGAACTTCAGGCTGACACTGAGAGCCATCAAACTGTGGGCAAAACGTAAGTGGACTAATATAAGAACTGTGTGACTTTAACGCTCCTCCAGTGGATACACACCGTCGGCTCACTGCAGTATCTTCTCTCTCTGATTGTGTCCTCCGCCTGCAGGTCGTGGGATCTACTCCAACATGCTGGGCTTTCTGGGTGGAGTGTCGTGGGCCATGCTGGTGGCCCGGACCTGCCAGCTCTACCCTAACGCTGTGGCTGCCACGCTGGTCCACAAGTTCTTCTTGGTGTTCTCCAAATGGTGAGAGTGGCGCTCGTGCTGTTTGTAACTCTCCCTGCTCCTGTTGGTGGCAGTGTTTCACACATTGTGCTGCGTGTGTCGTTTCCACCCTGCAGGGAGTGGCCAAATCCTGTGCTGTTGAAACAGCCGGAGGACAGTAATCTGAATTTACCTGTGTGGGATCCTCGAGTGAGTATGACACCGCAGTTTTACCTCCACGTGTTTGTAACCGTTTGTATGTGCAGCCTCAGGAAACACTGTCTGGACAGAGTTAATAAAAGTTTGTTGGTGTTTATTTAAAGTTCAGTTAAACTCAACAGTTGATAGAACAGGTAGATTTTTTTTTCCTCCTTTTTCATTGTCTCCTCATTCCTCTGTCCTCATGTGACCCGGAAATTGATCGGGTCCCCTATATGAGTTCCCAAGCCCTTAACTCTGCTCGGAGGAGGCTTCCCAGAGCACCTTGGAGCAAGGAAGACTTCCTACGTGGACGTCTTTTTATCAGACAGAAAGCCTTCAGTAATAATGCATTAGCAGCTGAACAGCACAACAGATCTGACATCTGTGTTTAAATCCAACACTGCCGTCAAAACCCTGTGTGGACAGATCAGTAGCAGAAATACAGTGCAGTGAATATTTGCTCTTCTTTTAGGATATCCATTTGTTTTGTTTTTCACATGGCCAGGGCTTTGATATCTTTGTTTATTACTGTTTTTCATATATATATAACATTTATTTCTCTCACACTAATCAGTCTACAGCCTTTAAAAATGAGAACGTCGTAGCTGTTGTAATTGCTGTGTCATGTTTGTAGTGTCCCTTCAGCAATAAACACATTTTAATTATCTATTGGTGTCGTTTCCGTTCAGTCACAGTACGGCCAACAGTCACCATGCTTTGTACATTTACAGTGTTCAGGCTCCTTTTAATCATCTGTTCACAGTGATACATGCTCATCATCATGTAGACGGTGTCCAGTGATTGCATGGTAAAGGCTTTGCTGAACGTTTCTATTGGCAGAAATAGATTATAATATTCAGAGGTATGTTTTTATCTCTTGTATGGAGTCTGCCGTGTCTCTCACTCCTGGAAGGCTGAGCTCCAACACATGGTTGCAAATCTACAACTTCACCACTAGATGCCACTAAATCCTGCTTTTTAAAAGTTGTGTGTCTTCAAAATACAGTTTGTATTTTCACCACAAAATAGCTCTTGGTGGTAAGAGATCATTCTCACATGGTACCGCCTGTAATACGGAGTGGCTGCTGTAGAAGAGATTATCAACTAGACTGCAGTATAGTTTCAGTTGTGTGATATTAATGTGCACTATAATATATTAAATTGTGAATGAAATGGCTAAAATTAAAGCGACATTAAGTCCATGAATTACTGCGGTTGCAGCTGAGCAGCCTTCGTCTAACTGACTCATCACTTCACATGATGTTTGAGAGGGAAGCACGTCACGCTCCCTCCTCGCATCAGTTGAGGAACAAATGCAAATGAGGGAAACGTGAATGTTGTGAAGTGAGTTGGGATGTACCTGTGGGATGTGCGGCCTCGGTTTTATGATGGCTTTCGGTGTGTGGGCGTGAAGTTTACCCTACTGGTTCGGTTTGGTGGGTGGAGTGCGATGTTGCTGAAGGCTCTCATATCTGCAGGTGGAAGCAATCAATCCCTGTGATGTGTTTTTTTTTCTTTTGTATTTACTTCTATATGTTTTAGGTCAACCCATCTGACAGATACCACCTGATGCCCATCATCACACCTGCGTATCCCCAGCAGAACTCCACCTACAACGTCTCCACATCAACACGCACTATCATGAGCGAGGAGTTCAAATACGGTACTGCACGCTGCACGAAACATTTACTGCGTTCCCCTTCTTTAAATCTCTTGTTCATCAACATAATTTGAGTTAATGGGACGTAATAACTAGTTTCCACCTTGTACATTAGTTAAAATGTCCCTGTGAATGTGAAGTAGTTGGAGCCTGATGTCTTTGTCCCTCGCTGTGAACAGGCCTCAGCGTCACAGATGAGATTCTTCAGGGAAAAGCAGAATGGTCCAAACTCTTTGAGCCACCCAACTTTTTCCAGAAGTACAAGTAGGTGTTGCTTTTGTCAAGTTAATGGGTGAAATAAAACCTGCGAGCTGCATGTGGCCTTGCTTAATTAGGATTAGACAGTTCTTTAGACTGTTTGTAAAACCGGTTGATGCAAGGCTTGTTTGTTTTTTGGGGGGGGGTTTTTCCGACCAACTTGTTTTAACTTTTTGGGTTTGGGCACATTTGACTCATCCTAACTGTGGTCAATAGTTTCGTTGACTCATTTTGTTTATGAAAGTGTCCTCCCACACACTTTGTGTTGCAGGCATTACATCGTCCTGACTGCCAGTGCATCCACCGAAGAAAACCATCTAGAGTGGTGAGTGTTGACAGACTGGCCTGTGTGTTGTCAACTGGTTCCCCTTTTCAGGTTTTAGTGTGGAACTGTTGAAAACTGTGAAAGTAACTTCTCTTACCGCCGCCTCTGTGAATACATTCTGCTGGTTGTTCCCTCAGGATCGGTCTGGTGGAGTCAAAGATCCGTGTCCTGGTGGGAAACCTTGAGAGGAACGAGTACATCACTCTGGCTCATGTCAACCCCCAGTCCTTCCCCGGGTCCAAAGAGAACCGCAACGAGTGAGTCCACCTCTATCCATACACACTGAGCTAACCAGAGCTGAGAGTACTGCATGTGTGTGCATTTCTGCCCCACTGGCTTCCTCTTGCATCACACTGTGGTCTGAATCAGCATAAAATGAACACGAGCGAACTGATTTCTGTAACAGGAACGACTTCGTGTCCATGTGGTTCATCGGGATCATCTTCAAGAAAGTGGAGAACGCGGAGAGCGTGAACATCGACCTGACGTACGACATCCAGTCCTTCACAGACACCGGTAGGTCTCGCCGTATCCCTCTCTGTCGGTGTCAGACGTTCGCTAAACTGCACACTGCAAGTGGGACAATAATTAATCATTTAAAATACCGGCAGTAAATTCAGGTGTTCAGGGATTATTTCTGCAGTTTTACTTTGTTGATCATCACAAAATAAATCTAATTAATCCACTCTAAATTTATTTTTTTGCTAACTGTTCCAAAATGTATGAGACACCTTCAAGTATTTTGAAAATAAGTAAATGGAAATATACTCCGAGCTTGTGTTCCCACGCTTCCTGGAAAATCTGGAAATTTAGAAACTAGTTTTCCAGTCCTGGAAACACCAGGAAACTAATTCAAATGATTATATATCCTGGAAATAATCTATGTTTCCTGGAAAATGTTTATTGTATTTTAGCCCTTCACACAGATCACCTACATAAACCTATAGGTGCATGTTTAGTTTGAGACTGTGCAGTTGTGTAGCTGCGCAGTGTGGCGCTTCAAAGTGGGCTAACCAGACGTGAAGTGGAACGGAAAAAAACGTTTTAACGGCTGCCTTTTAATTTCGGCCCTGTCAGTCAGTGTGACTGTTCACAACAGACGCAGACTAACGGACATTTAGTGATCTCTTCTATGTGGTAACGAACCTGAGCCACTTAAAAAAGGAGGAATTAAACTCATCATATGACCGTTGGTAAGCAAGAATTGTCAAGACAAACTGGAAAGGTCCTGGAAAAAGACACAAAGTGGGAACCCTGAACAGAATATATTGCAGTAAAATGGGACACAGAGGCGACCTGCACACGTGAGCTAAGCCGAGAGCATTACCAGAATATTGCCCAACGCCCTGTTTGGCATTTTAAAATCTTCATTCAAAAGGTCGAGTGTCAGCGTCACCGGGGGAGAGAGGGAACATGTTACTAACCCGACGCGTTGTTCTCTGCAGTGTACAGACAAGCCAACAACATCAACATGCTGAAGGAGGGGATGAAGATTGAAGCAACGCACGTGAAGAAGAAACAGCTCCACCAGTACCTTCCTCCTGAGCTGGTGCAGAAGAAGAAGAGGGTGAGACGCCTTACTGCGCAACACAATGTCATTTTTACAACACGGTTTAAAGTAGGAAGATTTTTCCTCCTCGTCTGTCTGTTTACGTTCCTCCTTCCTTCGTTTGTGCAGAGCATAGCCGAGTTGAGCCGGAGCTCCAACGGTGGGAGCTCTAAGCGGATCTCTCTGGACAGCAGCCCCCTGGACAGCTCCAGAGACACAGACTCAGGGACTCCCTTTAGCTCCCCGACCGGCAAACCCCTCAAACCTGCGTCGGACACAGACGACGGGTATGTTTAACCTCTGCAGCTCATTGATTTCTGTGTTTCTACCTGATCTGTTGTCTGTATTCTTACTGTTGACAGCGACCAGGCTTTCATCTACAATGTGAAGCTGACTGGATGTTTTCTGTCTCCTCTGTATTTTGCAGCGTCAGCCCTCCCAAGCAGCTTTTTGTGGAGAGCCCCTCAGCACCCAGCGCCGCTCCCAGCGCCGCGTGCAGTGCGGCGTCCAGCACGGCGTCCAGCACGGGCACGGCGTCCAGCACGGCGCCTGCTGCTCAAGACCAGGGCATGTCCATCCCCGTCATTGGCTCAAGTGAGTCATTTTTAGCGGTCGACTGATTTATATCTGGAGAGCCTTTTCCTTTCTGAGGCTGTTTGATGTGTGTTAATTGCACACAGAGACATATAGCAAAATGTTTAAATCTATGGAACAATGTCAATGAATTAAAGTCATTGTTAACAGGATGTCTTTAAGTGACATCAGGATACGTCTAATTCCTCCTCCTCCTTCTGCAGAGCCTTCAGTTAAAGCGAAGCCTCCCTCCCCGCCAGCCAGCAGCTCCATCGCCGCCGTGCTGAGCTCGGACGTGCTGCCCAACGCCGCCAGCAGCCCCAGAGAGGAGCCCAACGGCCTGGAGGACTCCGTCAACGGAGCTCCGGCCAAGAGACCGCGCTCGCCCATAGAAGAGGAGCTGGCCAAACGGCACAAAGACACCGAGGTAAGGAGGCTGTTCTCCGCTCAGTCACTGTACGTATTTCAGTTGAACAGATTGAATGAATCTGAGCTGTGTTTGTTCTGCAGGTGGTGTCCAGTGACGACTCTGCTTTTAAAGAGCCATATCCACCCTCCTCTGAATCCTACACACAAGGAGAAGGAGCCAATATTGTAGGTGTTATTTACTCAGTTTATTAACTGTAAAACCAGATGAAACATAATGTTCACATTCTGTCTCTCTTCACCATTAGACCCCTCTTTCTGGATCAAAGGCTAAGCCCATTCCAACCATTGATACCTCAAGAACACAGGTAACCTCTTAAACCCGCGGCTCTGTTTTAACTGCGTTTGGTTTTTGAGATATTTGGTTGTTTAACACACAAATAAAACATAAAAATAGATTTTCTGGTTTGGTTTTAAAACAGAAACTTTTTTCTGTTTGTTTTTCTTTTTTCTGATTTGGTTTTGAAAGAACGAACCATAAACCAGTTTTAATGAGTGTTTGGTAATTACTTTGTCTGTTTGCTTTTGTTCTGGTTCAGTTGTTAAATAGTGCTGATTTAATGTCATTGTTTCCCGCCTCAGAGACTTCCCAGCATGGAGCTACCAGACGCCTCCTCGCCTCTCCCAGCCAGCAACAGTTGTCGCGTTGTCAAAAATTCCATTAAACTGGCCCTCAACCGCCACAAGTGAGCTTCAGCTGTTTCCGAGCGCCCTCACCACATTTCAAACTGCTGCTTCCGTCTGATTGTTCTAATGTTTTCAACCCTTTTATTGTAGCATCACACCTCCCAAGCCCCCAGTGTTTGAGGGCACCCTCGCCACTGACGCTGCTCCTGCCAGTGAAGAAAAGGGCATGTCCATTCCTGTCATTGGCTCAAGTGAGTGTCAGTTGAGATTTTAAGTGCAGAAACACACCATGTTTTCTTTTAAAGGACAAAATACACGAGTAAACAACGCCGCACAGCCAACGCACTCTGAAGACGCTCTGCTTCTGAAACACATTCGGTGGGGAGTCTTGTAAAGCTGAGCCTTTGTAGAAATAAACAGAATCTGCATATTCAGACTAAAAAACATCACACACATTATTGTTCCAAGCAGACTATTTCTATACGTGAGTGGAGGGATCTTTAAATATACCGAGTACAGGACTGAATATTAGTGGTCCTCTGTGCTATCATGGTGCTTTTAAAGACCTGCTGACTGAGCTGCTAGACGGATGTACCTGCTTTTAAGTGGGGTAGGGGTGTATATAGCGGGGGGGTATGTGTACGACAATAACCTGTCACCCCTGGAGAAGAGACCTCGCTCTCCGTGGGTCCTCCTGCTGATCGAAACACTAAAAAGTGCCGACGGTAAGAGTTTTTTTTCTCCTGTGTCTCTACAGAACACGTGGCATCCAAACACGCGGTGCCCCCCGTCGGCAGCTCCATCCCCACGCTAGTGAGCCGAGGAGCTGACCCACTGAACGGAGCCGCCTCCAAGAGACCCCTGTCCCCCTCTCAGGAGGAGCAGGCCAAGAGGCTGAAAGAAACAGAGAAGGCCAGAATCCACATAGCCTGAGCACACCACTGTAGACCGGACTCACACACACACACAGAGGTGGGGCTTTACAGTTAAGTCAAACACCGAGAAGATGACTTCACACGGGGACAGGGAGTGCGTTCAGGTCTCGAGTGTGAAGCAGCAGGACGGACACCTCAAACCTCAAATCTTCAGAGATTATAGATTTGCCAGCGGATAGGTGATTTGGTCAAAGCAGAAGTTGTCAGCTCCCTCCGTCACGCTCGCAGCCAGAGGGCATTTAACACGGCAGTCACGGAGATATCTGACATGAGAACTAAAGCGACAGTTTTTTTACACGTCTTTCTCCCTCGGTGTTTAAAAATGTGCACAGTGCAGACGGAAAACGTGCTGTTCTTTTTCATTTTCCCAGTTTTTTTTCCAGTTAACGTGTTTTAAAAACAGCCCAGAATACCGACGCTTGCTGCGCACACTTCCCGTGTATGCCAGTTTTTCTTTTTTCTTTTCTCCCAAACAGAAACCTGTACAGTAAATGTTGATGTACATAACTTTTTTGTCTTAAAAAAAAAAAAAAAAGCAAAAGATCACTGTTAAGTCTTTTGATCATTATATTGTAGTTTTATCTAAAAATGGAAAAAAAAAAAAGTTTAAAAAATTGTAATTTTTTTGTTTTTCTCTATTGCTTGTCCCAAAAAGAAGTTTGTCTCCAGCCCTGGATATTTTTTGTAAACACTGTGTAGGTTTGGATACAGTTGCAGGGAGGCTTTATTGAGGGGGTTTGCTCGGATCTGACGGAAATCACAACCACGACTCTTTGGACCACCACGACCGCCCCAAACAGGACTCCAGGTTAGTATCGGACTGCAGGCGATCATAGACGTCCGGTGACATCAGTGCTTCTCAGGTGCCGGTAAGAGCATTAAAAAAAGAAAAACCATCATTAACAACAGGAAAGTGCTTTTTCTGGATGTGATGTAATGAAGCTTCTCAGAGGTTTGTGAGCTCTTGGAAGGATTTTAGCACCGAACGTGGGAACAACCATATCAGAGCTAATCCTCCCTGTTCAGTGTAGCTTCAGTGTCACGCCTGTTGTTCCTCTTGGATTAAAAGAAAAAAGGTTGATGAGTTCTGCTTATTTGTCCTGGTGTGTTTAAGGTCGACACGAGAAAGACAGTTCAGTCACAACAGTGTTTGGATATCAGTTGTGTGTACCTGTGGTCCATCAGGAGGGCTAAACAACAACAACAACAACAACAAACTAATATCTGGGCTGCTGTTTGACCCGCCCGCCAGTTCACCACGATCGGTCCTGGTTGTGTTTGTGTCCATGAGTTCGTGGTGCTTAGTGAAGAAATGGTTCGACGCTTTCTTGCCGGTTTGTGTGCGTGTGTGCGTGTGCGTGTGCGCGT